AAGTACAATAATCAATGGAATTATATATTTGAGATAAAAAGAGCTTGAAAACAACTGAAGAATGTACAAATCAGATTACAATAATAAAAACTATAAGAATCAGATTGAAAATATTAACTGTTCTTATATTCAAAAATAACCGTCTTAGAAGCAACAAAATTTCAAACTTTTCACCTGGATACAGTCATAAGAGCAAAATGGGTAACGTTAAAATCTACCGACACATTTTTGTTTTCGTTCCATATGAACCACTTTTCTTTTTTTCTTTCCCTTCTGCCTATTTCATCGTAATCGAATGTTAAGAGAAGAAAAAAAAAATGATAAAATTTTATCTCATTGGCAGAGACAGGCGACAGATTTATCTATCACTAAATTTAGCTAATTTATCTACATTTCAGATAACTGTTTTTTTTTTTATACGTTCTACAAAACACTTCTTTGCAACTTCAGTGCAGCCAATACAAACCAGAAATTTTTTTATAAAACTTTATCTAGTTTTGAGCAATAAAAAAAAGTAGTGGAGCCAAAAAAAACAGATACTATTCTGGTTTTCAAAATCAAAAAAAAAAAGCTAAAAAAAGCTTGCTTATTGATCGTTCATCTGTTTTATTTAAACTGATATTTACAAAGTAAACGTAGAAAAGTTTGACTAATATTGTTCATTTATCTACTCGTAACAAAGTACATATACTTTAATCTGTTTTTAAACTTTTTAGCGGTAAATTGTAAATGGTGAAACCACCATAGGTTTATTGCTGTAGAAAACATAGTTTTTTAAAACGAAGATATTTGTTACTTTAGGAAACAAATTGCAGCATGGAAGGAAAAGTTGGACAGAAATTGACTAATTACTAGCTGTAAAGAAAGAGCTAAAGCTGATCGGAGAGAAGAGGAACAGGAAAAACGTTGTTTCCTATTTTCCTTGTAACTTTAAAAATATCAGATCGCTGAACCCGTTTTTTTAACTTTCTGTAAATCTATTAGACTTGTTTTTTTTTCTAGTTATCATCTCTCCTTCTTTATCATCAATCACTGAACATATTTATGCTGTGTTTAGTTACCGAAACATCAAATAACAAAAAAAGTGTTACCTTCAAATTTATTATTGCTGAAATTGCAAATTGTGAAGAAAGAATACAGGAGATGAAGGAAGACGCTATAAAAGACATGAATAATAACTAAAATCAGCAATAACGATAAACTGCATATATTTTGACAATATTGAACTGTAATACCCACCTGAGCTAAAATTGGTAAGGAGAAAGGCTGTCGAATAAGTAGGAGGGTTTGCAGTTCTCTTATTTGGCAGTCAAGTACATTCAAAAAAAGTTAAAAAAATTTACAAAGTAACAAAGTTTTGCTAGCTGAAAGGAAACCGTCACCAAAAAATTCAACTGTAACACTGATGGAATGTCAACAATACAAAACTCAATTAATAAATTTGCTTTAATCCAAAAAAAAAAAGAAAAAAAATTTTTTGACAAAATCTAGACAGTTATTTTAAGTTTACCAAATCTTATCAAATTTTAATCAAGCAAAAAAAGAAAAAAAAAAGAGAAAGATTGCAAATAAATGACATGATTTTCCTCTTTTTTTTTTTTCGGACTACTAATCTCTTCCTATATCCTAATTCTTTGAACAACGATTTGATCACTCATCTTTAAAAATTTCTTCCTTTTTTCTTCCATTTATCCAAACATTTTTTCTTATTTATTCTTTTGTCGTTTCTAACAGTTTTTGCAATTACAATCAGCCAAAAAAGAATTTTTTTCACAAAGAATTTCTTCTGTAAATAAAAAAGAAATAGTAAATAAAAGAAAAGATTCAATTTTTATACTTTTTATTAGGAACTGAAATTTGCAGAGCAACAGTGACAGCTGATCGTTACCGTTATCATAAACAGTTTACAACAACTTATATCGTAAATTTTTTTGTTATTTTTTAAAGAAAATATCTGTTACCAAAAGCTTATTTGATGTTTAGATATACAGCAACGTCACAGAATATTATCAGTTAAAATCCGATGATGAATAGATGTGTTTTTTTAATAAATTTTTTTTTCTTTTCTTTGATTTCTAAAACAGTATCACAGGTAAAGCAAATAAATTTTTTTTTGAACTGTTCCAAATCACACTGATAGTCAACCAAAAAAAAAAGAAACATAAAACCCATTTTTTGTCAAATCCATAAATTCTTCAGATACTCTAAATTCCGTAATCAAATTTCAATTAGATAACGAACAAAAAAAAACAAGCGTAGAAAAAATAAATGAAATTTTAGTTTTTTTTTTTTCTGACCGTTAACACTAATAATTTTTGTTATATGACTGATAAACGTCAATGACAAATGAAAACATTCTTTGAAGATTATGTCTGTACAACAGGTAACCAACATTTATTTGTAATCCATAAATGCATTAAGCAATATGCTTGAAATTTTTCTGTTTGAAAACAGATATTTAACTGATAGATAAAGTTTAGACAAGTTTTATACATAAAAAATTAAAATGCAAAGTGATAAAACATGCATAAAGTTGATACCAAAATTTTATTACAACTAAGCCAACCAAGTATTTCACTAAACATTTCACTATCATAGTTTAATTTTAAATTTTGAATCAATTTTTTACCCTCACAGTACTGCTAGAAAAACAGTAACAATTTTTGAAATAAACCTTTTTTTTTCTTTTTCTTTTTTTTTTTTTTTTTGAAGA